CGTTGGGTAGCGGGGGGGGAGTGTTTCCGGCCAGCAGGCAGTTACAGCCTCCCTTCCGAACAGGCCCCCCCCAGGCACAGCGGCCCCCGCTTGCTGGGGGCAGGACGAGCCAGGGCAGGGCCACCATGGCCGCTTGTGCTGTTCGGGTGAGCCAGGAAAACCAAAACGAGCCTGAGCCCAGTCCCCAGGCAGCCTGCCCCCTGCTGTTGGGGAGGCTGAGCCCAGTCCCCAGGCAGCCTGCCCCCTGCTGTTGGGGAGGGCTCCGGCGCAGCAGCTGCTCTTGTAGACTTACCGAGGCCCCGCTGTGATGGAAAGGGGCTCGCAAGCATCCAGCTGCCTGCCTGCCTAGTGCCACTGCTCCCTCTGTCTGGGCGGGGCCCCAGGCCCTGTAGCTGGAGCCCCTCGCTGAGCTACCCCCCATGCTAGCCTGGCACTACAGAGCTCTGCCCCGGCGGGTGCCACTGCTCCCTCTGTCTGGGCGGGGCCCCAGGCCCTGTAGCTGGAGCCCCTCGCTGAGCTACCCCCCATGCTAGCCTGGCACTACAGAGCTCTGCCCCGGCGGGTCTGGGGGTTGTGCCGTGGGTGGCTGCGGCAGAGCACGCTGAAGGGGCCAGGCGCACGGGACAGCGGTTCTCCGGCCCTTCTGCAGGGCTGGTTCACACAGCCCACTGCGCTCAGCTCTGCTTCCCCCCGAGCGCAAAGCTGGGCGCAATGCGAGCAGGCAGCTCTTTGGGAGCAGCGGGGCAAGCCTGGCAGCAGCCGGGACTGGCCCGCTGTGCCGGGATTCCCTCCCACACAGGCGGGAGGAGCAGCCCTATTTCTGGGAGATGTTCAGGTTACAATGTGCCCCGGGAGGCTGTGGCCTGCCCAGCTGCAGTGTTGTTCCCATGGGGCGTGGACGCTGTCCCTCTCCCTCCGCCCTGCCCTCCTGTTCCAGCACCAGCCGGGCCCTGGACAATGTAGAACAGCCTAATAGGGCTGCAGGGGTATCCTCTGTCTCATGCCCCTCCTCCAAACTGGGACCACGGGGCGCAAGGCCTGGGCAGTGGGCTCTCGCCCTGGCCTGGCAGTCACCCTGGGCGTGGTGAGCCGCTGGCTGAGCCTGGCAGAGGGGACCCCCGAAGAGGAGCAGACCGGGCCGGGGCCAGGCGCTCCACCCGCGTGTATCTTCCGGGCTCCCACCAGCGCAGGGTTGGTACAGCCTCCGTCTCGCCTGCTGGAGGGCCCAGTGACACAAGCTACAAGCTGGCAGCAATCAGCCAGGGAGGCGCTTCGCTGCACATGCACACCCGCCCCGTTTCACCGACTCCCCTCCCCCAGCGTGGGCGCTGGTGCCAACACCTGACTGGTGCCCCATGGGGAGCCATAGGCACGAGAGTCCCGCATGTGCCCTGGCCTGGGTTTAACATTGGGAATGGCAGCAAGCCCGGGCGTCTGCGTACGCGGGGGAGGACCCGCCCTCGCTGCGCTCAGAGAACGTGTTCCTGCTGCCACTGCTCCTGTTAATTCCTGGCCTGCCCTGGAGAGCTGCAGCCTTTCCTTGTGCCCTCCCCGGGCCATGCGGAGAAGGGCTTAGAAAACAGCAAAGGGGGCAAATGAAACCAGGCTCCAAGCTACCCTCCCCCCACACGCCGAGTCCGTGGGATTGTTTACAGGCCAGTGGTGACGCTGGAAGCAACAGCTGACGTCTGAGGCGCCCTCCCCAGCGTCCAGTTCTACGCAGCCAGCGCTGTCCAGAGGGCGTGTCCGGTGCCCGTCCAAAGCCGGGCCAGGCCTCCCTTGGGGCCACGGGGCCGGAGCCAGCCCGGCACGTGGCCAAATGGCACCGAGCCGCGCTGGGGGCTGGAAGGGAGAGAAAACCAGCCACACTCCACTCCTGCCTCATTCTTGTGGGGGCTGTTTGGCCCTGCTCATCCCTGGGGACACGTGCCTGCCTTCCCCTCCCCCGAGCCATCCCTGGAGAGAACTGCTGGGAGAGGGCAGGGGTACCCGGAGCTGGCGCTAGAGCCTGGCTCCTCCCCTAGGTCCTGGGGCCTTGCTCTCACTAGGGCGCATGTGGTGCCTCCCGGCCGTGGCAGTGTATGAGCCAGGATGCCTCAGGACGGAGGCAGCACTGAGAACAAGCGAGGCCTGGAGAG